TGTATGATCGCTGGAACTGAAATTACAGATACAGAAATACATCGAAAGGAAAAAGGGATTATCATCAAATCACTGAGAGAGAGGATCAACAGTGCTGTCCCGGGTAAGATTGTTTACCAAATGTTTTTGGTAAGTGCTTACCAAAAATATAATGACCATTATAACCCTATTTGTAATTATATATTGAATAATATATGATTATTTTTGTTATTAATAGTTTAATGGAAGAAAAAAAAACAAAATGCATATTTTAAATAAACGCTTACCAATAAAAATAATACCATTTTACTTCTTTTCATATGTTAACTGTTAAATAAGACAACAAAATATAATTTTCATACTTCAAATTAAATAGAAAAATATATTAATAATCGTTCATACTTAAATACAAACGGGATATGAAACGTTAATAACAAAAGAAATTGTTTGTTTTTCATCCTAGACAATACAAATTAATTTGAAGCATTTGAAAACAGTTGAGTCGCAATCTGATCCCGCAGATTAGCCATATATCCATTGTCTTGAGAAGCCCCCCATTGTACTTCAACGACTTCTTGTTCAATGCCTCCTCCATGTTGCTCTTCCGCAGTAAACATGGCGTTCTCATATAACTAAACGAAAAATATAAGGAAATTAAATTAGAAAACCAGAAAAAGAATTGACCTTTGCCTCTGCCTTCCACTCCTCTTCAGATAGATTGAATGTGTTGGTTGTTGGGTTATAGACATTGCCCGTTTTATTCCTAAGTCTAGACCATACAGCGTATTTCCCTCGTAAATAATCATAGTGATTCTTTATTTGTCTTTGATTGACAATGAAGTTGTGAGTTCTTTTTAATGTTTCCACTATATTGTTCCATGAGTGCATCTTAAGGCTACCGCCTTGCATTCCATTCATGGACATCTCTTGTAGACAACAGTCCAAGAAGGTTTTTACTACATTCTCTTTCCAACTAACCCTCGATTTTTTGGGTTCCATTGATTCATCATACGGTTCCATACCTATGTCAAAAAGATCCAAACATTTTAAGGTCTTCATTATCCATCAACTTTTCAATAACAACACGTACAAAAGAAACACATACAAAAAACCAGAAAATATTGACAATAATAACTAAAATTTTAAAGTACCCACGTCAAGAAATGATAAAGAAACACCATAAACAATTGTGATCACTAGAATAAACAACCAATTTCCGTCCCAATATGGTTTAAAGTTTGATTTAATAATCATAATTTTCAAGAAGTGCAAATTTCTCCTTCTTCTTTGAGGATGATTCTATGCATACGTGATTGGTTAGCAATTTGGTATGTTTATGGATAATGATGAAAGATGTGCTTTTGGTGTTTAGATAGTCATTGCATGATTCCTGGGCTAGTTAGTGGGCTAGCAACCTAAATTTCTCCTCCTTGTGTGTGGTTATTTGATTCCTTTCAAAAGAGAATTTATATGATGATATGTTCATATGYTGACATTTGGGTTTCTGATCTTGATCCTATTTTGRRTTTCTGATMTTGATCCTATTTTGTATGCTGAAATTTRGGTTTCAAAAGAGAATTTATATGATGATATGTTCATAACCAACTAGAAATACTAGTGCCATAGATCTACTTATACATAACTTTTACTTCGAGATCACCAACTTCATAAGTACCCCCTCCCCTCCCCATCCTCACCCACCTGCACAGATGGAAAACAGGGAAGAAATTTCGAATTCCTCACCTCCGGTGTCCAAAATTTTAAACAAYTTTAGAACCCTAATAAAATCAATTCTCCTCCATTGCAASAATCCATACCAAAAACACAAAAGAAATCACATGAAACTCTGTTAAAATATCAGAAAAATGATTGTTTGCTTTAGTTGACTTCAATGATTCATGATCACCCTTACAGAAAGCTTCAAAAAACACAGTTATTTTCATTTCATAACCATAAATTTCTCGACAAATCTTAATAAACAAACAAAAACTAACCAAAGTTAGCAACAAACTCAATTGCTTCCACAAATAAACTAAACCCACATATGAAACCATTCTTTCTTTTCAAGATAAAATGGGTATTCATATACGAGTAAGAAACTTCACCTAAATTTCTCCTTGTACTGCTAATATAATGAGCAATGGAAACGTAACCCAATTGACATTTGGGTTTCTGATCTTGATCCTATTTTGGGTTTCTCTGATTCATCTCAAATCTTCTCTTGTCCTATTCATCTCCTACTCCCCAGAACAGGTACATGTGTTCTCTAACAAGACTAGGAACAATAAATTTGTCAAAAGGAAACAGAAGCCAAATCTTTACTGCTAAAATTGTAAATATAATGAAATCAAGTAATGAAATCAAGCCAAATCCCCAGAACAGGTACATGATCAAGTAATAAAATCAAGCCAAATCCCCAGAACAGGTACATGATCAAGTAATGAAATCAAGCCAAATCCCCATAATAGGTACATGATCAAGTAATGAAATCAGTCGATTCTTTGAGTAATGCATCACCATCGTACATATTATAAAGCCAGAGAACAGAAAAACTCAACAAATGTATAAATCGATCAGTTAAAAAGATTTGTACCTTTTCGAGCAACCAAGGGAGGAACGACTTGAGCGCCAAGGGAGAAAGGAGAAGGGACGAGAGTGACGAGGGAGAAGGATCAACCGTGAAGAGCAGAGCCGGGACCAGCGAGGGAAGAGGAGGAGCGATGAGGGAACGATAGAGAGCGACGGGGAATGCAAAACCCTAATTGTGAAAAGGGGGCAAGTATGGAAACGTGAAATCTGACTCGGGTAAGCATGAAATAGATGCTGACGGGGTAAGATTTCGGTCAGCAGTTCGGTCAGATTTCGGTCAGATTCGTAATTTGGTAAACACACTGACTGCTGACCAAGTCAGATATGCTGACCGAGTCAGTCCGGTCAGCAGGTAGTAAACAACCCCTTAATCTGGATATCCAATCCGCTATGTGAGCCAACTAATCTCAGAGCGACCATCGATTTTGCAGGTAGTCCAGAGTCATCGCATTTGAACCTCCGTAGCCACAAGAGGATTTTTATTCCTTCTTATATTTGAATCTCAGAACTCCAAACAATTTTGATCTTTAGAACTCAAACTCAAATCAATCAGACACCATGTTTATAGTTGTGACATGAAAATACATTTACTACATTTATTTAAGAAATTGTTATATTCCCAGACAACAATCTAACTCATTAGATTTTTAAATCAAAGTTGTTAGTAACCAATAATTATAAACTAAAGCGCGCGATGAGTTGTTAGATTCAACTTCTTTGATTTTAAAATTAACTTATTAATTTGGATTTTAATTAAATTATAATAATTTAAGTAAGAAAAAGTTCACAAAAATCCAACGGACTTTGCATATTTTGAATAATCAAGTCTTTGAACAATTTTTAATACAAATAAATCATAGGACTTTCTAAACCGGATTAAAAGCATCCTTTTTACCTCTACAACCTGTTAATATGGTAAACTTATTGGAAAAGACTAAAAAAACCAAATAGAGGTTTATATTTTGAATAATCTAAGTGTTTAGCCTCTTCTTTTTTACTGATAAAATTGATCTTTGAATATCCATGGAGTAGAATGAAAAAGCTCTCCAACCATGATTGACCTTCTCGTCTCATGAATTCCAGTGTCATGATTTCATATTTGTGTTAAAAGTTGTGATGGTAGAATTGTTTGGAACTACAATTTTATAGAGAATGCTATAAGAGTTATATATATACACTACATTTAGTCCTAAAAAAGACAAAATACCAATAAAAATTGCATCCGATGTCTCGTCAAATCGTCATTGATGTGTCAAATCGTTGCGTCATAAGTTGTCTTCACAAGAAGACGAAATAGAGATCAAAATAACCCATAGGGGTGATTTGGACAAAATGAGGGCGATTTCATATATATCAGATTTTTATTTCCCAAATGGTATACATGTGGGGTTCATCCATACCTTATAGTCAAAATCATCATCCAGTGACGATTTTGATGATCATTTTATGAAAATTATCTAAACAATAATCATTTTATTAACATACTATGTATAAAATGATTATTTTGGATAATTTCCATTTTTAAATGACAAGATTAAAAATACCATACCCACAAATTATTTAACGCATGTTGTCCGACATTTAGGTGTGGACGAGCCAAAAAGTCGTACATGAAAATGAATTATTATAATCAGTAATATAGACCTGTAATCAATTATGATACAATACTTTATAGCACTATTTAATTAATTAATAAAATATTAAATCTAAATACTTTATAATAATAATATAAAACGATCTTAAATGTTTTAATAAGTTTTTATGAATTTAAAAAATAAAGTGTCGTATTAATTATTTTATAAGATATTTTTTTCAGGTGCACGACATGTCTATTTTTTACAGGACAAAATTTTCAAATAGCGCATGTTCTATAAAATAGTTAACATAACACATTATTTCAAAAATCTTCTTAAAAATTGTTAAAATGCCTGAAAATATTCTATATATAAATCTATTGTAACACTTTTAGATGTAACGTTTTATTATTTAATCTTATAAAGTATTCTATTAAAACGATTATACATTTTAGACATTTTATAAGCTTAATTTATTGTAATGAATATTCTAATTTATTCTTTTTTTTAAGTATTTATTATGAATTTTTTAATTATTTATTCAATATCGTAATGTGAATATAGTATGAAGTAATGGGAAAGCACAAAAATGATCATATATTAAAACATTCTTTAATCACGAATCACGTCTCAATGAGGGGAGTTTTACTTACGGTTCGTTTACTAAACGCTTACTTAATAAATGTTTGCTGGATAAATTTCCTCATCGGATGAATATAAGAAGGGCCAAGAATCTTACCGGGTAAGAGCGATGGGAAGGATGAAGAGTCTTACCCGGTAAGTGAAGATGATGATTCTTACCCAGGTAAGCGCTTAACCGGTAAATTGTTGCATTCAATACGTTTTGAAGTACTAAGATTTTACTCATCAAAATAAATTATAGTGTTGACTCCTATAGGTAAGTACTTACCAGATAATCATTTGGATAAACAACCCCTTATTCTTAGTTAATAACAATGTCTATTTTGTCTTAGTTTTATATACCCCAAACACACACACACACACACACACACACACACACATATATATATATATATATATATATATATATATAGAGAGAGAGAGAGAGAGAGAGAGAGGGGAAACATCAGCTAAGAATTGCGAAACCAACGAGAGAGCATGTCACATGTTCCTATTCATTATAAATAATGGGCGTGAAATTTTTACAACATTCATGATAAGTGACTTGTCCATATTCAGTATGAATATAGACACTTGCAGTACTGTCCATAGTTACATGGTTCACAATGGAAATGCGATTCCCAACCCAACTTGACCCGTATGTATATAGTCCACATTAAGGGACTGTTTGGTTGGTTTTTCGTTAAGTCTTGTATGAATAAAGCGGTCTATGTGAACCTCTGCCTGTATAGATTGAAAAAGTTTTTCTTTGGGAGAGTTTTTTTTATAGATAGAATGAGCGTGCTTTTTAATTAGGGGTGACAGATTTGAAGAAAAAAATTGGCTTTCTACATGAAGCTTACTGAATAAGTCACATTCCATATCATTAAGCCACTACTAAACAATCATGTATATTTGACCGAATAAGCGGGAGTCCCATTAAGTTCATTAAGCTGCTAACAAACAGACTCCTAAAATATTTTATTTCAGACATACTTCAATTAAAAAAAACATTTACTTTGAAAGAATTTAGCCTCAATCTACATATATAGTAATTAGAAGGATACTCGTACAATGTAACGAGATATATCTTGATTTTAATGTTTCATTTTATTTTTTTGATCTCTGTCAATGTTATAATACGATTTTATGTGGTTTTCAGCAAAAAATAATGTTTTTCTTAATAAAAATATAAATTTGAAGATATCATAAAAATTAAAAAAATATAAAAGTTCTTATTTTTTTGTGTAATTTATTTAATTTTTTTCGTTATAACTTAATTCAGGTTTAATAACGAAGTAATTTGTTTTTAAGTTAATAAAATAATTTTTTATAAAGACGATAACTAAGTATTATGTTATAACTCAATAATTATCCTAATTATTTCAGATTTTATATTTAAAATAAAAATTTATAATGTATTTGATTATATTTATCTACAGTTAGTTACACGAATTCAAACATGAAGCTTAATAAGTTGTACTTACACACAATTTACTTGTAATCTTCAATTTTAAATAATATATATCAATAAACAGTACTTCATATATAAAAAATAGTTTTTAAATTTTTTTATCAAAATGCTTTATAATATATTATAGATACCTTGGATCCCCTACCCTCATTTTTTGTTGTCTTTTTTCATAAAAGTTGATGCTTAAATATCACAAATGGATGAACATGAACATGAACATGAACATGAACATGAACATGAACATGAACGATGGGTTTCTGTTTCCTACCAAACAAATTAATTAATTAATTAAAATAAAAAAATATTTGAAAAATATATCAAGTGGTTCATGTTTTAGTTGACCTTTTTAGTTATAAAGCTCGTTTAATCATTTGTGAATATGGATGAGGTTTCAAATTGGTCTCCATTACAATGAGACAAGTTTCCATCTTCTTGCTCTTCATTGTTGCCATCTTCATCATTCAACTGCTTTTCGTAACCGCAGGTTCGTTCTCATATATTTTCCTCAAATTATAACGTCATTGATGCAGTTCTGTTGAAATCGTAGCCATCTTGATCATAACGGAATACTAAAACGACGTTATTTTGTTCGTTAAACCTCTCATAAACGAGTTTTAGCTCCTTATTTGCGTCAAAATAGCTACAAGGGTTTGTGTGTAACTATGTATACATGATTGTGTGTGGGTGTATGTATTGTATTCTATTCATAAACTCTTCTATTCATCAAAATGTGATTTTTTTATGTTCAAAGTTCGTTTGATATATATATATAATCAAGAATTCACATGTGAATGGTGATAGATTTTATATTGTTATGGAAATATAACAATACCGGGGTAAATAATGCAGATCAAAGTGGGGAATTCAGGACTGAACGATATGATCCAAGAACGCCACCAACACCACAAGGAAACATAGAGCGTGGCATGTTTCCACCTGAATCGAGCTCACCACCACCGGTTTACAACTAAGTTCGTGTTCACGTATTTCAAAACTCATGCAACCACCTTAATTCGCTTTTCATTATTCGTTTTAAATGTAAAAAGAACAGAAAACATGGTTGTTGGGAAGGGTGCTACAACTGCTTAATTACACCCACCTTGTAACATCCCTAAAAAATAGCTGGACTAAAACGAACTTTTGGTTCTCTTCATCCGTTAATAAAATTTAAACAGAACTCGGTAACGTTTATGCCATTAGAGTCATTTTTATACACCTTATCGTTCTATGGTCGTGTCACAAGCGAAGGATGTTGTTTAAGTTTGAATTTGAATCATCGTAATCGTAACTATAATATTGGATATTTATGTCATTTTACTAAAAACATTATCTATTGTAATAAGCAAAAAAATAAAATGCGGAGAAGAACGGTGCAAAAACGAGTGAATTTCACACTAAAACACGACAGTGTGATGATCATATCGACTAGGTTTGGTGTAAAGTCGTCCACGGGCGGAAGGACCCGTTAGACTCGCCCCGTTCCGTACACTAGAAAATCGGATTTGGATTATTATTCTTGAAGAAATGGGTGGGTTTTGACTGACTTGTTAAAATTAATGGCGGGCGCAGACGATATAAAAAAATTGTGTAATCCCGCATTTGTTGGATCTGAACCAACAAACATGAATCTTAATATTATTTCTAGTCAAGTTCGGGTTCAAACTTGGATCCGGATACGTAACTTTTAGTTATGAAAAATATTTAATACAAAACTCGATGACAACTTTTTATCGTGACAATCTTAGCAGTTAGCAGTTAGCAGTTAGCAGTTAGTAGTGGAGTTTTGTTTTTCCCATGGTTGTGAAATCTCATAAGGCTCCTGGGCTTGTAAAAAAATGCTATTTTTGGCCCATTTCTTTTAAGATTTGGTATTTTAAATATTTAGGAGGCTGTTTGGTAGTTGTTGAATGATTTGATACAAAATGATGAAATGGTCAGAATGATTAAGAGACTCTCAGGATATAGTGCAAAATGAAATATAATTGTTTGGTAATTGTTTACAATGAAATTAGGATGCTGAATGGTTAAGGAAGAACCATGATACAAAATCATTCAAATGGTTTTATAACCATTAAGAAACAAACTTTTTTTTGTCAAACAAGATTTACCCCTTAACGATTCATAGACTGCCTCTTAATAGAACTATTAAAAGATAAACAAACAAAGCCATTTTTTTAAGTATTTAACTTTATGAAAAATACTAAAAAAAAACACATGGATCCATATTTTAGTATCATTTTACATATTTCTAACATTTTTGTTACTATTGAGCCTATCAAAAATCTTAAAAGTTGTACTTTTGGCCATAAAAATGGCTTTTTCTTACAAAAATGTGTTTAATTCATGTTTCTACTAAATATATACACTTCATTGAATTTACTTTAGCAATAAGCTTACGATTCGATTTTGATGGTTATGGACTAGTACTGAGATTGAGTCGTAGATAAGCAGACTTTATTTTAGCAGTCGTAACGGTAATAATGAAAATGATCCCTTTCTTAGTGAGATTATACGAGCAAAGAGGTTTCAAATACAATAATAATCAATGATTATATTAGGAAATAATCAGAGATATTTATGAACAATAATCATGATTCATTTATTATGATTGAGATATTTATGGAAGATGATATTGATTCAATCCTTATGATCGTGACTTTAGATTAGGAAAATAATTGAAATATTTATAGAACCATATCTTTATTAGACTAGATGGATGGTTAGAATACGTTTGTATGATTAGTAAAAATTACATTGTCTGTATATGAAACCTCTCTCTCTCTCTCTCTCTCTCTCTCTCTCTCTATATATATATATATATATATATATATATAGGTGGAAGTTCAAATGAGAACCTCTTTGTTTTAAGAAAATGTGATAATAGTTGTGGACCTCCAATTAAATTAATCAATAATTTAAATTACAGTAAATAAAACCAAATCATTGAGTGTAATAATGTAATTTTTTTATTTTTCATATAGTAATAATCCATATTTTTCGAACAGATTCTAATATGAGATTGTGTTACATCTAAATCGGCTAATAAATCAATTTCATGAGCCCTATGATAAAGCGTGTGATACATAATCAAGTAAACACGTACTCGAGTTTGCCTAATCATGTGATACAATATGTTTGAAACAATCTGTGATAAATGTATGAGAAAAAAATATGTGTGATACAATCTGTTTGATACAACTTGGGTGAGATAATCATGTGATAAAACCTGTGTGATACAATTTATGTGATACAATCTGTGATAATCGTGTGAATCAACATGTGTGATACAACCTATATGATAAATCTTGTGTGATGCAATATGTGATTCAACATGTGCTCAATCGAGATACTAGCTCGATTGCGTAATCTATGATACAAACTGTGATAATTGTATGATAGCTGAAACAAAGAACTCGAGTATAACCTTATCGTGTGATAATCATGTGATATTGAAGGGAAAGCAGAACAGTTTGTGCTTATCGTATGATATAGAAGGCCGACTAGTTTGCTCTAATCTTGCTGATAATCCATTATCACAGATGTGATAATCATGTGGCACTCAAGCGTGATCATGTGCTAATCGTGCCCTAATCATGTCATACTTCCAATTTTACCCTTCCAAGTCTTTAATATTTTTAAAAACTTCTTAATATTCATTTAAATTTTAAAAAGTCATCAAATTCTCTTAAATTGTGACTTAAAACGCAATATTTGGCTTACAAGTGCTCTTGCATTTTCATAAACCACAGGGGTTCTTATTTCAACCCTTATCTATATATATATATGCCCCTTCATTTGTTAACTACACAACTAGCGTTAACTATACAAACCAATCTGAACCTTTAATTAATGTAATCAATGGATTATAACGAACAGTGAACTCTGTATTAAAGTCAAGGTTCATATATGTAAAAACATGATGAATACATTGTGAACAAGGGTAAAAATGTAAAAGTTCAATAACACGTAGTTTAGGAAAGTAATCACCTTCCTCAAATTGCTTCATCTCCATTGAAGAACCGAATCTCTTCCGATTAGAGAGATAAATCGCATTAAATTAATGACACTTGGCATTTCCATATTAACAATATGGAATGATGTGGTTTCACTGATGAACGTGAAGGATATGGTATTGATTTGTAAGCAGGTTCAACCATTTGGAAATTATATTCAATCTGATATGTTACCAATTTATTCCTTAACATAAAGTTTACACCTGAATATTATGTATATGGCAGGGTTTCACGAATAGTACTGATATGTGATCATTTTATTCCCTAACATGATGTTCATACATGAACATTTTGTATATTAAAGGATTTTAGGCAACATAACCGACATAAATTATTTTTGATTTTGTTTCACCAGTGAAAATGCATGTTATATCAATTACTTGTTAACAGATTCATCTATGGCGGAAATTATATATTCGAGGTTATTTATATGAGATTGTTTACTGTCCACAGCTGAAATGATAACAGATGTTAATTAGTAGTTATGTTGTTCAGATATGAGAATTATTTTATATTATACACAAATAGTTTCGTTCTGTTATATTATGAACGTAATCACTAAGAAGCTTGAAAAAGAAGATATAGTTATCATACCTAAAATCAAGAACTAGGTATATAAATGTAACAGTCGCTTAAGTTCATTAAATGAAAAACAAAAACTGAAAATTACATAAGTACCCTTAATCAGTGACTCAAACGTGTGAATCAACTAGGTCTAGGAATGGTTTTCGATTGGTCCAAAGGGATTTTTGTAGAGTTAACACCAATTGTTTGTTTATAATGGATACTAAGGGGCGTTTATCAAACACTTACCCGGTAAATGATTACCGGTAAAATTTAACACTATTATTTACTTGACGGGTAAGATTTTAGTTCACCAAAACGACATCATATGCAACAATTTACCCGGTAAGCACTTACCATGATAAGAGTCGTTGCCCTCACTTACCGGGTAAGACTCTTGGTCCTTGTCTCGCTCTTATCGGGTAAGACTATTGATCCTTACCATCTTCATCCGGTGAGGTAATGTTACTTGGTAAGCACTTACCCGGGTAAGCACTTGGTAAACGACCCCTAAGATTCTTAAAATAGAATAGTTGTTGGAGTTGGATGTAATATTTTAAAAGATTTTGAACATCATCTCCAACGTATACTCTTATCATTTTTCTAATAAAGAATATCAAAAGTCAAAATATCTAAAATATATTTATACCCAACTCAAAAATCAGTCTGTTTTTTATATTTTAATATTTATTATATTATTAAAATATTCAATATATTTAATAAAATATTATCTCTCTCACATAAGCACTTAATTTCACTATATGTGATTAGTGGGAAATAGTTAAAACTTATTTCTCTGTCTTAAATCTAAAATTTTAGGGATTTCTTCATATTTGAAGAATTTTACCCTTTTTTTTATTATCTATTTTAGCATAGGTTAGAGTCAGAACTGCATAGCCCGTGCGACCGCACAGGACAGCACAAGCCCAAGGGGCATCAAGTTTTTATGTCTTATTAGCTTTGGTTTAATGATCATCAAGACTATAAACAACATGCCCAAAACCCAAGCCTCTCAGAGCCATTAACAACTGTCTGGAAGCAAGAATTCGAATACGTCTGTTGCTCCCTGCCTTACGTCATCCTCAACTATTGTATATCTTCATCATCAAACGTTCATTGAATCATTGGTTCAAAAATCTAATAGATTGGATTAGGTTAACTTAATGGTTATTTTGAATTGATGATGTTATTAATTATGATTACTATTTCGATTTCAACAAGCAAACAATAAGACTGGTTATCCGGTTTAGGGTTCGTGATTTTGTTTCTCAATTGTATTTTTTTTTATTAACCTGGATATTCAACCCGCTATGCGAGCCGACTAATCCCAGGACGACCACCTGCTTTGCAGATAGCCTGGAGTCACCGCATTTGAACCTCCGTAGCCACAAGAGGATTTTTATTCCTCCTTGGATTTGAACCTGTGACCTCCTGTTACTTTTTACCTTTAGAGTCAAGCTCAAACCAATCAGGCACCACCCTTGTATTTAGATATGAAACTATTTGTACTCTAAATTCTAAATTTTTAGTTTGTGTTTGGGTTATTGAAATAACTTATAACTCATTATTGACTTATTATATGTATTTCTTTTAATCTGTAAATATGGGAAATATTGTTG